GCCGGCGGGGGGGAGGGGGGGGGGGGGGGGGGGGGGGGGGGTTGTGTTTGTGGAATGATGCGGGGGGTCGGGGGTTGGGTTGTGTTTGTGGAATGATGTATGTTACAAGCACACATCCAGTTTTGTGTGACTGAAGGAAATCCGCTTGGGAGTGGAGAGATTCTTCCTTGCGCACATGGATCGCGTAACATTATGCGCTCTCGACATTGTCATTAGGATCACACTATAGAAACCGCCTAAAAGTAGAAATTTACTAAAAACAAGCCTATGGCAAGACATTTGGTGGGGGGGCACCTGGGGTGGCCAGCCAAATTTCAGGGGGGGCCAGTGCCACCCCTTGCCACCACGTAGACACGCCCCAGTATTCCACCCAAAAGGTGGGTGTGGATAGGAACTATCAAAAGTCATTAACCCAGACTAATCTTTGCTCAAAATCCTTTCTTCTTGAGACGGACACTATCCAAGACTCCTCAAAACTCTCCTCTTGAGTTTGATTTTCCGGCAGTTTTTATCTTCAAGTAACTTTGTCGATCCGCTGTGAACTTTCCTATCTTCAGAAAAACCAGAGGAAAACCTCCAGATCACTCTTAAAGAACTCATCAAGAACCTCCATATCTACCGCATCAGGACTCTTGTTCAGCAACAAAGCCAATGCAATTAACCATTTACAACTATTTAGATGCGTGTTTAAGTTTGAGCCCCCTTTTTAAGGTGATTTTTGATTCTTTGATAATGCTCATTAGGTTGTGGTTAATTGATGTGAAATACTGCCATTCTTTTGCTTTTCTCTCTCTCTTCCTTACTTTCCCTCATTCTGTATATATGTGTTTTGCTTGATTTAGTTGTATGTTAGCTGTAGTTTCATTTATTAAATCCCTTATATTCTCATTTGATTGTCCGTGTGTGCTGTTCACAATTCGGAGTCACTGAATGTTGATTCTTGCTACATGCTAAACTACTGCTAGTACTGCATAAAGTAGGAAAGCTATTGTTCCTTGGCCAGGAAAATAATCTTTCCTTGAATTGATAAAGGATTATATTGTCTGCTCGGTGGACGGACAGATCAAATAATTGTAATATTGATTCTGCTACAGTTAATTCTAAGATCTAATCTAAATATTTATTATTAATTATAACCAGTTATAATTAATTATAAATATTTCCCTTTTGAGCTAATTTGCTACATATTTGGTGGAGAACGCGGCAACATTCAAACTTTGTTTGTGAGCAAACTCAGTATCAATTTATTCTTGTTCTTATATTATGCGCGCTTAGAGTGAGACAAGTAGCAACGCGAACTCACTCTTTTGATTGGATGGTTCAAAGCCACCTCCCGTACTGTATTTTAACAGCCTCTATTTGTCTAATATTTAGTCACTGTTAATTGTTAAAGTAAACTGCATAATCATAATCACTTCATAATATTAAAATTGTTCTCTAAAGACGAAGAAATCTCTTTACAGTACATTTTAATATGATCAAAATCACCTGTTGGAACGAAGAAATCTTCCTTCATTGCGATAAAGATTGATTTGAGCGATGCTCCTCTTATCATCTTTTAAAGGCCTTTTCTGAGAGTATCGCTAGATTGAAGTCATTGAATGTTAATTTCATTCAACTAGATGACCTCACTCCCTTAGGGTTAATCATTAGTAGCAGCTAACTAATGTGCACCTATAATGCAGATCTGATCATAAGAACACTGCGAGCCAGAAACTGATTGGAATGTAAATGGGAGCTTTTAAAACCTTGATCAAGTGAAATTTGTATAACAACAGCGAAGAAACCCTGTTGCTTATAATTTTTATTGTGTACTGGCAGCAAAGAAATCCTGCCACACATCATTGTGCAGTTAAGTTGCACAAACTGTAAGAATCTGTTGAGATCTAAGTCACATTGTTCTTGTGATAGCTGCAGTAAATTGTCCGTTAGAATGAGAGTAATCTCACACTAAACGCGATCAGTTTTAAGCACAATTGGCACAGTACCTTAAACTAACGCTAGAGGGCAGGCTGTTTAAGTATCTAATGGTGCTTTTCCACTGCATGGTACGGCACGGTACGGCTCGGTACGGTTCACTTTTGAGGGGGTTTTCACGGATCACGGATTGCCCAGAGAGAATCGTCACTACCTACGTCTCTGAACTTGCGCCACAAACACAACAGAACCGCTAGATTTAAATCAGCACAGCCAGCGAAGGATCGAACGCAACTGTTTTGAACGAGCGCACCTTTTTTTAACAACCAAAAAGTGGCTGTTTCGTTGTCTGTTGAGGAAGTACAGACGTTCCTCTCGTTGATAGCAGAGGAGGGGATCCAGCGAGAGCTTGATGGGGTGATGCGGAATGAAAATGTTTTTCAGGAGTTGAGGCAGCAGAGATGGCGTGACTGTAACGACATGTGAATAATCCGCCCACTCTAAGGCGATACTAAACTGCAGTGTAAACGCAAACCGAGCCGAGCCGAGCCGTGCTGTGCCGAGACGAGTCGTACCATGCTGTGGAAAAGCACCATAACATTTCTTGAACTCCACCTCTACCCTCCTGATCTCACCTTGTGTGGGCTCACCTACTCCCCTTGTGGGCATTCTTAGCTAGGTCAACTTCTCTCTCCCTAAGTCCATGTATTTCAATTTGTTTTACTTCTAATTTCCCTTCTGCTCCTTTAGTCATTATTGTCATTCACACCATTCTAGGTACCTCCTGTTTTAGTTCTTTATTTTAGTATTATTTTTGTTTTTACTTTATTATCTTTTATTACTTTTATCATTTTATTTTTGTTTTGTTCCTTTTTTATTATTTGATCAGGTTTCTCTCCCCCTCTTTTCTCTGACTTTACCACTCACTTATTTAAATTGAGCTTAAACAGTGTTTGAATTTAAATTTAAAGTTAATTTCTGTATTCTAGCCATTTGTGTTTACCTATAGGTAGCACTCCCTCTAGTGCTTAGTTGGTGAAGCGACGGTTGCCTCCATGGCGGATCACAGTGAGCTGCTACAGGATCCCGACTGGATCACCTCAATCCATCACTAAGCCTAGCCCATAGAATACTGACCCATCCTGCTAGCGAAACCCCAAAATCAGGTTTCTCCTCAATCTTTAAGGTAATTAGCCTGCTCCTGCTATCCAAGCAAGGCTGACACACTAAATGTTATGACCCAGCAGTGCCCTCTACTCTGTAGGCCCTGTCATAACCCCTAACAGCAGTGAATGGCTTAAACCTGCTCTCTCCGCTATCTCTCTCTGTGTTTTGATTTGTTGGTTTGTTTGTTTTTCATTTTGTTCTGTTTTGTTTGCCTAGAGACCAGACTGAACCTTTGAGAATAATCAGGGAAGGTTGAGTAATAGATTGACGACACAAGCTGCAAAAGTCTTTAGATGATCACGCTGTCAACAATCTTTAGTTAGATCCTTACCGGTGCCCCCCACAACAATTAGACACACCTTGCCATTTACGATCGAGATAACAGGTGTCTGGTCTACACTCCGCTAACTGTTAGTACTCATCAAACATACCGTACATAGAACATATAATTACTATAACTGCAGCCTGCTAATGCTGTAAGGTCTTGCATTGGCATTTTGTGCTGTCCCTCTCTCTCTCGCTCTCTCTCTCTCTCTCTCTCTCCCTCTCTTCACCAGTGAGCCAGCATATCTTGATCATCCAGCCCCGATGCCCACTGGGATCGACTAGAGTCCTGGCTGAGTGCCATTACTGGTACCCTCCTGCCTGAAGCCGCTGGTGGCCTGCAGCACCTGAGCCAGGAACAGCTCGATGACAACCTGAGCA